AAATTTGCGGAAGAAACACCTATACAGATCATCATCGTGTTGGACTCAGCATGTTCAGTTTCCGAACACCATATTCCTGGCTTTCAAGTTGTAGCCCAAGCATAACGCATAATGAAGAATTGATTATTTTCATTTGGATTGTTCGAAAAGGTAAATACTGATCACATGATATGGATATTGAGATACTGCGATGGACATTAATAGGCATTTGGCTCTAGTCAATTTACTATCGAGTACATACGAATAGTGGAATGAGCTGACGACATGAAAAAGGCTACAACCGATTATAAAGAAGACAGATGTTCAGCTACACAATTGATCAGACAGTAGTAAGCAGACCCTAAAAACAAAATAATAAAACAGAGATACTTGAAAAATATTCTCAACATGAAACTTACAAGTTCCATACCATATGCGATGCCTTGCAAGTATAAAACATCGTTAGTAAACACATTAATGTCTCGAAATAGTAATCATAGGTCACCAAGCAGTGCTGGATCCTTGAGGTATGCAACTGTATCGAGATGGGCAACCAGCAAATCACCTGTGTCAGTCTGTGATTTCTGAGACACATTCGCCTAAAATATATTCAACAAATTCCAATTTGCTGCTAAATGCAAGTTGCTTAGTTTTTATTGCAAATTGCAAAGAACAATGCTCTACCGCATATTTATCGAATGCATTCGTGTTTATCTGCTGCAAAACTGCCCTCGAACATAACGACAATACAATTACAACATATACTGTTAGCAAGTTATTGTAGCGTGAATTCTACCGCAAAATCAATTCTTTACTCTGCTTCAAAACAAAACAAAAATACAACAACAAATCAAAAGAATAACCGGCTTAGATCTTTTCGGAAGTGATTGCCTCCTTAATCAGCATGAGGGTCGGTACCTCCTCGCCATCGACATCACGGTATTCGATGATGGCTACTTGACCGTCACCGGCTCCCTCAGCCATGCGCTCACCTAAACTGAAGACTTTGGACTTTATCTAACGACACTCTGCAATATTTACCAATGAAGAACTGGAGCGACTTCCAACGCTTCTTATCAAGCAGAGACATCACCCAAACTTGGATCTTCTTTTTAAAGGTGTCTACCTCATCCTTTGACTTGCCGTTCTTCTCCATGTACTCAACAACTTTCTTCATAAAAGACTTGACGTATGATTTGAACGTGGCTGGATCTTCGTAGCAATTCATCTCCTCAAATAAAAGTTATTATTGGTCACCCAGAATGCTTTAGCGATGTATATAGATTAACTCACAACAAGTTTGTGATTTAAAACGATATCAATGCCTCGCTCTACATGCTCTTCTGATCCTTCTTCACCTTCTTCTCCTTCAGCCGATGGATTAGCCCCAGGAAGCATAATCTCTCCCTCCTTGCGGATAACATGCCTTCCCTTGAACTCGTAGATCAAGTCATCCACAAGTTTCATGGGAAATGAGTCAGAAGACAGCTCATCATCTAAATATTGGAAATACAGCAGGTAATTTCCAAAAATGTCTTAATGTTTAGAAGCCGCAAACGATCAACGACAACAAGGGTCATAGACCTTAATTACGTCTTGAAATTTATGTACCACGGTTAGACTCGTTGAGCAACAACCAACCCAACCTCTAACAAATAACAATACTTCAAGGACGCAAAACGCGCCTATCCGCACTGCAACTTTGCTTGAGAAATGAGCCTGCTGCGCAACTCAAGGATCGTGGTTGAAATGTCTGACAGAGATTACCCACCAGTGAATACGTCCTTGAAAATCAGCATGGCCGCTGGAGTTGCCCAAGCTAGGACAGACAGAATCGTTCAGGATAAGAATCAACATCAGTAAAATTGATAAGCACTTTTAGAAAGTAGATCTGGTCTAAACCTTTTCCTTATATAAAAACAAACATTGAAAGCGACGAAAAGCTTCATCAGTGATTCTTTCAACAACAACTTCAACAATTTAATCGAACAATCCAAAGCCAAGGTCTTCGTCCTCCGACTCCTCTTTGACCTCCTCCTTCTTCGTTTCAGCAGCAGCAGCGGCTGGAGCAGCAGAGCTGGCAGCGGGTGCGGCAGCAGCGACGAACTTGCTTGGATCAGCCAGGTACTCCTTGAGCTGTTCGGCCTCTTTGAAAGTGACGTCGGTGGCTGCCGCAATGCCAAGCATGTTCTGCATTCCTCTGGCCAAAGAATGAGCGACGGACACCATTGTCGGGTACTTGATGGCAAGTGAGACAGCTGCAACATTGCGGACTCCAGCCAGGAAACGCATGCGCAATTCATCGGTGGTCATGTCAAGTACCTCCGGCGAGTAGATGGTACCGTTATCGTACACTTGCAGTACAACGAGACCGTACGAGAATGGTGTCACGCCAAGCATGTTAAGCAAAGCGGCTTCAGAAGCTCCGACCTTCTCGCCTTCTTTGATCAAATGCACCTCATTCAAAATCTCGATGGTACCCCTGGCAATCTTGGTGGGGATCTGTAGAGCCTGGAAGAACGAAGTCTTCTCGGGTCCCATACCAGTGTTCTGGGGAGGCAGCTTCACATCGCAAGGAGCAATCGCACCAGCCTTAGCAGGAGCACCCTGAGAAAAACAACAATTGAAAAAAGTTGTTATATGCAGAAACCAGAACATAAACAACCCATCCTCTGATAGTGCAACTGAGGAAGTGAAAACATACTCTTCTGTTCTCTAGCAACTTGGCGCGAATTTCTCCCAGGTCTTCCTTAGTGAAAACAAAACCGACGTTCTGCACGATGTAAGGTAGCAGCTTCTC